AGAGAAAAGAGAAAGGGGGGAGGGAGAGAGGGGCGAGACTTCCCACCGCCCTCGCGGCACGGCACGATCGAGTTCTGCTTGGCCTCCTCGCGGCTCGCTGTGGCGTGGCGGAGGCAGGTGTGGCAGTACGTCGCCCCTGCTCGGCCGGGTCCAGCGTCGCCGGCAATCAGGCTGAGGGCCCCGCTGTCAGCCCCTGCGGCTGCTCTGCGGCCGGGCGCCACCGGGCGGGGCGGGGCTGCCACCGACGATTTACAACGCGGAGAGAAGAGGCGAAAGGAATGCATTAGCCCGCCAAGTCCCGGTCCAGTCCGCGGGGCGGGGGCGGCGGGGGCGCGGGGCCGCCACTCAGCGGGATGACTCGCAAATGGGTTGTCGGTGTCCTGTGACTGGGGCGGGGCGGGGCGCGCGCGCGCGGGCCGAACCGTGACGCCATTCACCCCTAGCGGGGCGGGCCTAGCGGTGCGAGGCGGGGGACGGCCGGGACGCCCCCGGCGCCCCCGGGACCGCAGGGGACCACCCTGTGCCTGTCCGTCGGCCCGACTGCCGGTCCGTCCGTCCACCCGATACATCATCATTACGACTAAATGATGGCAAGGCTCTGTTTAAAGTCCCCCGACGAAGCTACCCCTTGTGGAGAGAAAGAGAGAGTGCGCACAAGAGGGAGGGTATGAGGAAGACAGAGAGAGAGAGGAGTGAGAGGGGGGGGAGGCACTTTGGATAGTTCCCGTTCTTTTTTTGGCGCGCCATACGCCTGCATTCACTTCAGGGAAGGCCTAAAAATAAAATACGAGAATCGACGCCGTTCTGGGTACACTACACTACACATGCCGTCGGGCGGGTATTCTAGCGTGCCTCCTACCCCGCGATTTTACCGGAGGAAGGCGCCCTCGCAACGGAATTCCCACACGTCCAAAAGGCATTGTCTCTCTAGATGAAAGATTGTTTACCAAAAGGTACACAGAGTTTGCCGCCACAAAAGGGCCTCCCGGAAAAAAAAGGTAAAAAGGGGTTGGGAGAGAAAAGTCATCTGGGATTTTAATAACTGTCAGCATTGTTGGATCTGCTGCGGGCGCAGCGCAGCGGGGCTGGGGAAGGGAGGGGGGGGGCTGGCCAGCACGCGCGAGTAACGGAGTGGCACGGCCACGCCACGCCACACAAAAGTTTTCAATGCAAACAAAAGGAATTGCTGGCCATCCCCCGGCCCGCCCTCTGCCGACTAAGCTCGGCCAATGATAATTATTTTAATTACTGACATTCCGACCGCTTTGAAATGTTTCCATGGCCGAGCAGGCTCAGCAGGCAGCGCTCAGCTCAGCCTTAGCGGCGGCCTCAGGCGCCTCAGGCTCAGCCCGTTTGGTAGGCAACTGCTCGACCCTATCCTGGCGAGGGGGTTGCACGCCAGCCACGGAGAACGGGACGACACTAGGCGTTTACGGACAGGACAAACCGAAACTGAAACGATGGCTTACTGGAACATCGGAGTGATAAATAATAGAACAGGTAAATATGGGGTTGGAGCTTGAGATTTGTATTTTTTAAAGATTTGGTTAGCGATGCCACACCACACTTAGCAGAGAGCCAAGGTGAACAGGCTGTTTTATGACAAAAGTATTTTCTAAATGGTGTGTGACCCATTGCAGGATTTGATATTTTGTTGAATCAACAGTTCATAAAAAGTAATGACAATGCATGCTTGTCTCTAAAATTAGTTTTAAAATTAATTAGCAGGTAGATTATTTTCATGAAGTCTCACAACCAACAATAGTGAGCATTAAGATAAGGCACACCATGTAATATATGCACTACAAGATTCAGAAGCTAAGTAAATAAATAAGTCAAAGAAATATCACAAATGTGGATTATTAAAATCTAAATCCATAGGACATCCGTAAAAGAGTCATTTAAATCACACAGATTTAACACTTGGAAAAGAAAGGCTTTAAACAGGCCTAAGTTGTTGGGAAAAAGAGCTGGAGCAGATTTTCATAAATTGTAACGTCTGCTGGTAGAAACACACAAAAGATAATACGATCCACCTACAACACAAACACAAAAATAAAGGCTTTTAGGTACATATTTTCACAACAGTTATTTTTTGAAGTAAAATGGGTTAAAATAACAGATACGCACCTCTTCATGATTTCCTTCCATATATGTACGTACAGCTTGCAAAGCCACTTTAGCTGCAGCATCTTGAGGATAACCTGACAAGACATGAGATATAATTGTTAAGCAGGAGTCTTGAAATTTTATTTCAGAGATAATAGAAGCAGTAACTAGTTCCATCCATTTTAAATCGACCAGAAACCTCCATAAGAATACTTGCCATAGATGCCAGTAGATATGCAGGGAAAAGCCTGGAAATGCAATTGGCTGCTTAAGTATGTGCTTCAAAGGACTAAAATAATTTAAACGAGCGTGAAATACTTACGATAGACTTCAGGTTATTTTCTTTCATCAGGGCTAAACATGATTCATAACAACTTTGTAGATCTTTGGGTTTTTCTCCTTGCGGTCCTACAGTATGAATTACATCTGTAAATAAAATTAGGGAAAATAATGCAATGAAGCTTAAAGAGTCACTAGTCACCATCTTATTACCACTAACTTACATTTAGAGGGTAGCATATAGCCCCCTGTGATTTTTGCTTCGCCAACTTTACATCCCTCCAGTGAGCGGCATTCCTCTTTCAATGAGCCTCCTGCAGCACGATGTATGGCGCCATCAACTACAAAAAGGAAAATTAATCAAAATTAACTTGTAATAGATACAGAGAGCTAATTGATGAGAAACCTAATTAGAGCACTTACCACCTCCACCTCCAAGAAGAGACTTATTGGCAGCATTGACAATACTGTCAATTTCAAGGGTAGTGATGTCTCCTTTCCACAGAGACACCTTAGCTGCCAGTTCTGGCCTAACAACCTTCTTCTCAACACCAGCCTTTTCTTTGCAGTTTGCAACTATCACATGGCCAAATAATAATTTATTTTATGTTGACATTGGTGTAGCCAGCCAGAAATGCTGTCTCTACATTATGTCTAAAAGACATCTAATGTCTATTTTTTGACCATCTTTGACCTTCTAAATGGCCAAAAAATAGACCTTGGACGAAGTACAGAGGTAGCATTTCTGGCAGGGTAATAAGAAACCTCCCCAGCCAACAATAATCAATGAAGTCTTATCAATTTGATCTCAATTCAACGTCAAAAACACCAATTTCATATAAAAACATCACAAGTCACAGTTTTGACAAATTTTTGACAAGTAAAGACAAAATGATATTGTTTTCATCTTTGCGGGCTGGGTTAAGTTGTACTCACATTGAGATGCTAAACGGCTCTGATGCTGTTGGAGGTATTCTGGCCAGGTCTCAATGTCGGACAGTGTATTAAATCCATCACTAGTACACTTATAGATCTTGCGCTTTGCATCCAAAGACATGTTGAGATATTTGTCTGAATGAGCCGTGATAGCAGTTCATTTCAATGAATTATTAAGTATATTTAAATATCAAAATATCAAAAAAATCATTTAACCACGTACCTTTGTCCTGAGCAAATGTCATGGTTGCAAAGAAGTGTCCTTGCTGATGATTGCTGTAAATTTGATTGTAAAGAAGTGAATGGTTCAAGAGCTCTTTAAAGATGACAGAGCTTCGAACAGTAAGAGAACATCGCAACACCTTCACAGCTTGCATAATCTGCAATACTGCTCTCAATATGTGTTAATACACAAGAGAAAACAACATACAACAAATTAAGACAATCATTCAATAAATAAAAAATAATCTATTAGAATATTGATAATCAAAATAAACTTGGCAGAAGGTACAGCCTGAAAGTACACATGGTGACAGGCTAGGCTGCCTGGTCTAATCGAGCCATACTCAGGAAGTTGAATGTAGTTCGGTGAAATACAAATTTTTCTTCTACAACAGCAAGAAATGTCATTTATTTCAACATAAACATACCTATCAAACAATAAAATAACACAATATTGGATCTGTCCAGCGCGGACCGGGGATTCGTTCGATTGCTATTCGTATTTAAATAGCAGAAAGCAGTGTCATCTGATATGAGAAACTTAATATCCCACTCCTACCAGCTTTTCACGCATTTCACAAATCTCAACCCTCAAAACGTCTTTTTCTACTGTTATTCGCTGCAAGAAAAATAAAGTTGAATGCAAAAGATATCCACATATGAATTAAAATAATGCTAAATTAAACTTTTGCCCACTTTCCAGTTTGGAGAATGACCACCTCAAGAAGCATCCTCATGTCCATGGAACACGCCTCTTTCGGGATCAATATGTCTTTTTAGTTTATATCCTTCGGAAACAGCAACGAAAAACACAAAATTGCAATGGCTTCTGTGTCCAAAGCCGCGTTGGGTATTGCTGCTGGAGTTTGTGGGACACTGGTTTTGGGATACTGTCTATATTTCGACAAACAGAGAAGGAGTGATCCCAATTTCAAAAAGAAGTTGCGTGAACGTGAGTCTCACATAACCTCTAAAATCGCAAGTTTAACAACCTTTCCTTGTCTCTTAAATGTACATTTTCTTGGTAACAGTTTACTGTCTGAGTCTGGATAGGGGCATTCTGATAAACCTAAGTGATCCTTTCAATCTTACCCTCATGCCTGTGTGGATTACCATAGTCGCACTTAGAGGCATGTTAGCATGGGGCCATTCATTTAGATATTAGTCATATGAACCTTGATCTGTACAGGAAACTAAGTATTACTGAGTTTTCTTATCTTAACGGCTGTTTTGTACCCTAATCTTCTCTCTACACTTTTCCACTCAACATACATTTTCACTTTAATTTCCTACTTAACGTCCATTGATTTTAGAATACTAGGATCGAGAAAAGCCTTGCTTGAGAGTTCTTGGCAAGCATCTTGAGTAATCTTCTGCTATTGTTGTATTTCAGGTCGCAAAGCTAAGAAAGACGCCAATAAACGCACAGGGTCCAAGCTTCCCAACCTTAAAGACCACGAAGCTGTTCAAAAGTTCTTCCTTCAGGAGGTATTCATAAATCTAGTGATTTAGTATTTGTTGCGTAACTATATTTTTAATTGTGTTTCAATTATTTTAACATCTAAATTCCTCTCTCTAGATTCAACTTGGCGAGCTGCTGCTAGCTAATGGTGACTTAGAAGAAGGAGTAGAACATTTGGGCAATGCAGTATCAGTATGTGGTCAACCTCAGCAGCTTTTGTCAGTCTTGCAACAAACTTTACCTCCTCAAGTTTTCCATCTGCTTGTCCAAAGACTTCCAGCATTTGGCCAGGTTTGTATAAGCTTACTTGTAATGTTTGCAATTTTAATTAAAATATTTTTGTAATTTGAATATTTGCTATTATCTTCTTTGCAGCGAATAATGAGTCAAGAAATGGGGAAAGGGATAGAAGATGAAGATGTTGAATAAATTCCTTTTGTAGATTTGAGAAAAGTAGTTTTTCAAGTTCCTTATTTCATTTGGTGAAAGGGCAAATGTAAAAGCACAGATTAGAAACAATGCTGGCATTCTGAAGTTAAGACATGGCTCTGAAATTGAACTTTGCCCCAAATAACATTGACAAATACTAATGTGTTCTTTATGTTGTTACTGTATTTCTATATAATTGTTATCAGTGTTTTTAAGAACTGCCACTAAATCTTGATTCTACTCCCACATTCATTTGTCCTTGCACCCTTAGTTACCCCCAGGCTACACTTTGTGACAGTTACTTCCCTTAGAATAAACATAATTTTTCATATACTATCTGCTTTTTTCTTCTAAGTTTTTACTGTAATGTGTACCGTCAATGTAAAAGTTTGAGTGGATACCATTATCTAATGAATTGTATTTTTTAACAATCCCACACACACTGATTGCATGCATACTGTGTCTTACGCATGGAGCCAGATATATAGCATGTTAAAACACCTGTAATTCAGGTAGAGACATTTACTCCCCGAATAGAGACTACAATGTTACAAGTAACTTTCGGTGATTATTGGGTGGGGAATGCACAAAGTTCATTGCAATGTTTGCTCTTTCAAATTGGATCATGTGTGATTATGATGACTGTAGAATGTATCTCTTTTGAAAGTGTTCTTTTCCTGTCGAAAATACTTGAATTGCTTTTGCATACCTTGTCTTCAAAGTGTGACCAATCAATGAAATGCATGTAGTGTGTGTGTATGTATCTGTGCATGCAAGTGTGAGGATGCACGTGAGAGTATTGGTGCAAATAACAAGTTTTTTTAAAAACTACATCCAAGAAGATACTGTTTTATAACAAAACCGGCCTTACTTTGTTTGCTCATTCATAACTTCATGTTGCCTTCTGTTCTGGATGAATTTTTCTTTCTTTTTTTTTGTGAGTGTACTTGTCAGATATATTTTGTTCTTGTTGTGTATATAAGGAAATTTTAAGGGAAAGATAGTATTTTTGAGCCATATTTTGTGAAGTTAAATTTGAAATGTATTGCACATTGAGCTCCTTGCACACAATCTTTTAACTAAGAGGTTTACTTTTTTATGAACTACTGGCTCAGGACATTATGTATCGCCCCTCTAATGTAAGAGAGGGGCGTTTACTGGCCCCATATCCTGAGTGAAGGATTTTAGTTCAATATGCAGTCCTGCAAAATTAGCAATATTCTTAGCACTGCTAAAACACATAGTGAACATATTTGCATTTATTGATGAGTAGTAGAGACTAGTAAACTATACTGATGTAGTATTTAGAAGAAGAAAAAGGAGATTTTGTTTGAGGTTGACAAAGACAAGTAAAATAAAGAGTGAAAATTAAATTTGCATAACAAGAAGAAAATAAATTTATTTTCACTTCTGTAACAGTAAGTAGTCTTACCAATAACTATGGTCAACAACTTTCCCATCGGGAATTAAAAAAGTAATTTAACAAATTGTAAATGTATTCATTTCTTTCAAAAACCCACTCAATCCTGAAAGGGAAAATATTGGTACAATCACTGCTTGTGTCAAGCCACACAGCAGGAACATAATAAAAGAGCAGTATAAATGTAAATTGTCTCAAAATTCAGTTAAAAATAACTCGGTTTCCTACCTAAATTGTTACATTTGATGCTGTTCTGCCGAGAAAAAGAAACAACACTCATATGAAAGTAACGTGAATATCTGGTTGTAGAAAAAGTGTAAAATGAATTGCGTCAAGGCAGTCCGGCAATAAGCAAATGCCAATGTCATGTACAAGCTTGATCGGACAATTGATATAATAACAGTCATTAATAGAATAGAAATACATGCCTATTTTGTCAAATAAATAGGTTTAGTTTTACTTCTTATCATGGGCGACAGAAAAATGAATGATTGAGCATGGTATCACAGTTTTTTCTCCCGAAATAAAGAGACACATGTCACAAGTCTCACAAGAAGCCACAAATTAGATTACAAAAAATGTAGCTAAATAAATCTATTAGGCTAAATTCTAACTTCTATTAGAACCACTCAACTCTTTGAACAGCCTTCAGTAGGGGGAAATACAAAGTAGCGAGATTCAGATTTGAAGGTAATACCAAGATAACAATGGCCACTACGATTACACTGAAAGCTACTTAAGATAGTTCATTTGCTTTCCGAGCCTCTTCCATGATGACTGAGGCTCCTTCACTGATAAGAGCATCAGCCAAGTCTTGACCCAGTTTGAAAGCCAATTTATATAGTTCTACATCTGCTGCAGGACTCACAATACCACAAAATATTGGTGGTTGTGAATGAACTGCTTTTTTCCTGTAAAATAGCAGAAAACTCCTGTTAATACATCACTAAAGAATTAGAGAGACCAAATGAAATAAAAAGTACTCACCTTGGAGGCTCTTCTTCAGTGTCCAATTTCAAACTACAGCAAAGTTTCTTTCTTAATGTCTTTGTACCATCCAAGCTCCAAACACCACCTTCTAGTTCTAGGCTTTTCCCATCATTGATAAACTCTGAAACTACTCCAACTGGTGCTGAACATCCACCGCCTAATGAGCATAGAAAACTCCTCTCTGCAACAACAAGTAGAGCTGTTTCGCGATGATGTAAAGGTGACAAGAGCTGAAGTGTTTTGGCATCGTCTTCAGCACACTCCACTGCAAGGGCACCTTGGCCAACAGCATACATCATCTCAGATCCAGGCAAGACCTAGAAAAATTCAGAATTAAACAGATACTGATGCTCATTACCTCATTCATGAACACAATGAAATAATGGAAATGAGTGACAGAGAAAATGGATCACTTGACAAATTTACCTTTGATATTCTGTCATTCCAACCCATACGGTTAAGTCCTGCCATAGCAAGGATGATAGCTGAGTATTGCTTATTGTCATCGAGCTTACGCAGCCGTGTATTAAGATTTCCTCGAATACTTTGTACAGACAAATGACTAAAATTAGAAAGCAGTTGCGCTTTCCTTCTCAAAGAACTTGTACCTATTTTTAAAAAATTATTTATCAAGATGAATGATGGAGTTATTAAGTTTAACCACATGCAATTCATATCCCAGAGAAAACTTTATGTCAAATCAAAATTGTTTCAAACTTTGTTTTGCTGGCGTTTTGATGCCAATTTGACTGTCATTCTTCACTGGGTATGATTCACTAAATTACCTATAACACTTGATGCTGGTAAATTACTTAAATCATTTTCTTCAAAATCCTTGTGCATTACTACTGCATCTCTTGGGTCTTCTCTCCTAAGGAAATATAGAAAATGAAACCACAGTACGGCAAAAAGCAAGGTAAAGTTAATCAAGTAGTGGTTTCAAACAAAAGTAAAGTGTATACTTACTCTAAAACAGCTCCTATGACAAGACCGTCCGGCAATGTTGTGGGAAGATCCTTGAGTGAATGTACAACAAACTGAACTTCTTTTGCTTCTAATGCGGTTTCCAGTTCTTTGGTGAAAAGACTTTTTTCCCCAATTTTGGGAAGAGCTTTATCAAGAATTTTATCACCAGTAGTCGACATTGAAACTAGAAGAACATTTTATAAAGTCAAAATACATCTACATTTTGAAATTAGCGTTACAAATGAAATTAAGAGAACACTTGACAGTCCATACTCAGGTCAAACTTTTTTTCTGGATACTGCTGCTCCATGAGCTGGATGACATGGTGTGTCTGCACAAGGGCAAGCTGTGACAAGCAGAAACATTAAAATGCTGCAAACACACGTGGCATTCGTAACCTTAGGGAAACAAGTTTTGAGGTCAGTACCTTGCTGTTACGAGATCCAACAACAATTTTACTTGGGTGACAGTCAGCTGGAGCGGCTTCGCTGGGATCAGTCATGATCACGACTAGAACACTTTTTTCCTGCTCCCAGCACGGTTGCCGGCGGTTTGCCTACCACCAGACGGTGAATATTTACATATGATTTGTCATCACACGAGTTTCTCAAGCAAGTGCCGCTCTCGGCGGGCGGGCGGTAGTTTCGGAGACACATCAGCCACATCACAAAAGTACAAAAATTCCTGTCATTGGTCGAGATGCAGCCCCACTACTCCAGAAAAGCGGTGGGGGAAAGCAACCAACCAATTAGATTTGCTCTTCTTTCTCCTGTGTGTCTTCTTCCATACAAATTTCCACATCCGGCCCACTCCCACCCCCGCGACGGCGACGTTAGACACCTCTCTGAGCTCGCAATTCCTCATCCTCGGCAAAAGGCACCCAGCAGCCAGCTCAAGGAAAACTTGGAACATGGGTTATTGGACTTTAAAAAAAATATTGAAAACATAGTTCCTTTGTGGCATGATGAAGGGCTAACATAGATTTCTTGAAGAACTTGCGTTACTGCTTGTTCCGCTGCACAATTAACTGTTTTGCGATTATGATTCATTTTGTATTGATATCGTGATCAGTTGAGTTGCATAGCAGAAAATCCCACCCCCAACATGCTCCTTATTGGAATTTCTGAAATGTCAGTTCGCCATTTTGGATTTTGAGAACTTAAGTCCAAATTTGGAAATCCAAGAAAACAGTGACTTTGGAGTAGAAATTTTGTTTCAATTCCATCCGAAGCGATAGAAGACAAGTCCGTGAGTGTTCTCATTCATATTTTCGAAAATTAAAAGTGCCGATTGCCAATAAGATAATTCCAGTTTTACTATATAGGTTAAAATATCTAGTCTCGCTTGATCAGCCGAATAGCGCTTTCCATTGACCCCGTATTTTCTGCTTCGTCCTTGGCTTCTCTGAATGTGATTTTTGACAATAAAGTGAATAATATTACATTACGATCTATCCTCTTAATGAATTTCTTTGAAATAATGCCTAGATTAACACCTGTTACTTGTAATATGTATATGTGAAGAGCTGTTCCTATTGCTGCCTGAAAATCTGATTGATTGTTTGGAATGAGCGCTCCTGTGTTCTAAATTTTCACAAAAATCCTAAATAGGTACCAATCTTTCTCACTCATTTTAATCATGTGTTTATTTTTTTGATTTAATGTTGCCTCTTATGCTGTTAACAAAGTATAAAATTTTTGACAACAGGCAAAAAAATATTGGAGCTCATTTTCCGTCAAAATTTATTTGTTTGATCCCTAATTGTCCGCTGAGTGTTGTTTCTTCTAGTCTTTCTGCACTTATTTTGTCTGGGGTTCTCTTTATTTCAAATTGGGTGTTAAATTTGAGAGTTTGCTCTATAATTTCTTTTTTGTTTCTGACAGGTAATGGTCTAATGCAGAATTTCAGTTGGCTGGATTTTGAGAACCTTTAACTTCTCTCATTAATTCTTTGCAACTAATAATATTTTGACAATGAACAATACTCCAAACCCCAAGATGTCAGCCCAGGAATATTGCCTGCGATGGAAATACCATCATAGTAACTTACAGGTATATTGATTTAATACAAAATATCATCCTTGTTTATTATTTTTGTCCATAACAATTTCTTGAATGACTTACGTCTTTTGCAGCAAATGTTTTCCAACCTATTAGAACGTGAATCATATACTGATGTTACTCTTGCTTGTGAGGGGAAAACTTTAAGAGCCCATAAGGTAAATTAAAATTTTAAAGGTGAAGAGTAAACTTGTAAATATAATACTGTCTGTTTTCATCTCATCATCAATTTACAGATGGTCCTATCAGCCTGCAGCACATACTTTGACAGTATTTTCTCAGAATATTCTGAGAAGAATCCAATTGTTATCTTGAAGGATGTAAAGTATATGGACATGAAATCTTTGGTGAATTTCATGTATCGTGGTGAAATTAATGTGCAGAATGTAAGTTTGCTCATTTTAAAATAATATCTGCTTAATGTTATCAGTGTGGCAAAAATTTCACCCAATTTAAACCTATGCTTTACTTATCAGTCTCATCTTTCATCACTGTTAAAAACTGCTGAGGATCTACGAATAAAAGGTCTAGCTCAAATGTCATGGCCAGCTGATGGGCCTGGAAATGACCAAATAAAAGAGGAAACCAAGGGCAATGGGTCAGATGGGCAGTGGAAACAACGAACTTCAGATGATGGCTCTGCTTCTCAAGTATCGGTGTCAAATGGATCAGAATCTCCTGCAAGTAAAAGAAAGAGACCAAATAGTTACAGCCCTAAAATAGCAAATGTGAGTAGCTGTTTTAGAAATTGTAAAAAAGACTTGTTCAAGTGTAAATAATAAGTACAAATAACTGGTGACTTGTTTTGTCATTGCCAGGAATCTGGAGAAGAGCAATCACACTGGGATCAAGATGATTCTGAACCAGAAATAATATCTAATCCTGATCCACTTGCTTCAGATGATAGAGGCTATGGAAACATGATGCCACATAACACTTCCCAGGTACCAACACTGGTTAAGCTTTTCATTTTATTTTAATTGAGTAAATTAAAATAATGTTTATATTGTGGCCTTTTTATTTTTTTCAAGGAAACATTTAATGATCATGAAGCTGATACTGGATACAACAGTGAGTACATTCTTTTATTATTTTGATTTGTTAACAAAAGTTTCCAATCCAAAAACAGATTTTAGAAACTAGAAATTGAACAAATCTTATCTTATTAGATACAGGAGATGTGCACGACTCTCAGCCTACTATAGAGCCTGTGGCACCACCGCCACCCCCACCGCCACCACCAACTTCTTCAAATGCTCCTCTATCTGAAAGATTTCGAGATGTTGTTAAAATGAATGACTATTTGGTCTCTGGACGTAGACCTCAGTTCTGGGAAGAAGGCTTCACAAGAAATGTAATGGAAGCTATTAGAAATAAAGAAATAGAAATGAAAGCTGGTGCTGAAATTCTTGGTGTGTCGTACGGGACATTGTATGGTCGCTACAGAGAGGCATTTGGCTGTCTCAAACATCCATACAGGTGAGTGTGTTAACCCTCAGTAGAATAAACTGAACTTGTAAATTTAAAGAAATTTTACTGGTATGTGTTTAGTACAAAACCACTTGATTTTCACAAAAATATTCCTTTAATTTATCTATCTACTGTTTGGTGTTCTCTATTTAGGGTCAGAGATTTTTGGTCTGAGCCTGGACCTGCTGGGGTGCTTGGAAAACTTCAGAGGAAGGAAATAACACTCTTCAGAGCTGCAGAAATTTTGAATGTTACGGTCGCCACTCTTGCAAATTACCTCTCCACACTACGCCAGGAAGAAGCATCCCCTTATACTCTCAGAGACACCTTGTTGATGGATGATGGGAATCGTGATGGCATGCTCATGGGACACATGGAAGACTCATACATCCCTCACCATCAACTTATAAAACAAGAAGCCCATATAGGAATGGGTGTCACAGATGATGATCTTGATCCTGAGAACTCACATGGTGCTGTGTAGAAAAAATTATCAATTACTGTAGTTAATTTTAATTGTTGTTAAACAAAGTCCTACATCTTGCTTAACATGTGAATAATTGGGAGAAACAACAGTGTATGTGATAAAAAATTTCTGTGCCTTCCCAATCTTTTGAACTGTCACATGGATCATATTGTTTTAGAAAAAGTGGTAGTACTTTGCAAAAGTTCCTCTTTTCTGGTGGCTACATGTGGAAACACATCTGATAGTTGCTCTAGTACCTTAAGAAAAGTTCCAACCAGCAATTTTGGTAATTTTGTGATTTTGTGTAACTTATTTGTATACAACTTTATATATTGATTGATAGTTGACTGTATGGTATAGATCAATGCCTTTCTGGTTCCCTTTACATTTTCAATAATGTAGAAGTAACCAGACTAGACAAGTTCCTCTCTTAGTTATGACATTTTACGGCAATTCAGTACATGTCTCTGAGAAGCAACCATGTACCTCTCTCTAATTAAATTCGGAAACTAGTTATGAAGCAAGAATTTCCATCAGGGTGTTTCCAGATCATGAGAGTGTCTGCACACCTGATTTTGAAACATGTCTGAACAAATGATAAAAATGTGAAAATCTTTTGCTAATTATTGCATGTCCTACAATATCTATAGAAAAGCAAAAATTCCAATAAAAAGAAGAGTTTTATTGAAGTTTTCTATGAAAGTCAGGAAGTCACAGAATTCTAAGAAGAGAACCTGGCAACAATCTGTTAAATGTAATTTACTCTGCCATGTACTGAATTAAAGTAGAGTGCCTTTGTTCCTTATTTTATCATTAGTTCAAATAATTGACTTAAGCAATGAAGTTTAGAAAACTAAGCTAATATTAGATTTTTACATGAGTATTGCAACTTGAATGTTCAATGGTATTCCTCAAATTTAGTAATTACTTTTAAAATACCCTTTATCCAAGCAACTTAAGTGCTAGTCAACTGGGTGCCAGCCCTTAAATTAATCCAGTAGGCAAGGACAAATGGTTTATATTCCCACCAAAGGGATTTTTGTACTGTTAAGGAAATGTGTAGATTTAAAATTAAGACTCCGAACATTGATCAGAAACCAACAACATTAACATCACAAGTTCTATGTTTCCTACAAGAGGCCAAGAAGAACTGAGAAGTTTCTCTCTCTCTATGTTTCCTATAGAATAACTAAACTTTGGTGTTCAATTGAATAAGCATGTTGCAATACAGAAAATCTATCAAGAATCAGACAAACCTCAGTAGGCTTTTCTGAATTCTTCAACTTTGACTGTGCTGGCAAACTCTGGTTGCTAGAATTAGAATTAATACCATTACATACTGTACAGCATTCATTTAGACTCCATTGACATGTCATTCATTTTATCTTGTGATCATCTATTTTCATCATTTTGTTCACTTTTTGAGCAGATGAGCAATGTGCTGTTATTTATTACTTTTGATAATTACAAAGTGACTTTTAGTTAATAAGCTGGAGCTTTGTAAAAAAAAAAATTTGTTGCTATGTCTATTGCTTCATAAAGCCCCTACTCAAATCATTTGAGGGCTGTGTGCAGGAATTTTTTGGAGGCGCAACACAGTGGATTATAAATTGTTTGCTGATCCAACCGTTTCTGTACTTTTAAGCATAACCACGGCCTGCTACTGCTTACCAAGAGCCTTTTTTTGTTTCTTTAATGTCTACAGAGATTTGAGGGTTGGAGCTACTTTGTGCCTCACAGGATTTGATGTAGGTTCTCAATATTAGAAAAATTTGTTTTATATTTTGTAGAGGTATACTGTTTTATGCATTAACATAGTAAAAGGTCTATTTGAGACATGTTCACTTAGATATTCAGTAGTGGAAGAAAAAATCAAGAAATGTTATGATTTTTGCTTTATAGAAAATTTTATCTATTATTAAAAATAATTTTGTTATTTATTTCAGATAAACTTGATATTATTTTGTTTGTACGTTATCATCCTTTTAAGGCAATCGCAGTTTTTGTGGCTTTTATAGAAACTTGCTTCCAGAAAGACCAGATTCAGGACACAATTTTTTTCTCCTATGCTGCCAGTGCTTTCTCAGTCCTGACCTTAGGCTGGTCAGGCTACCATGAGTTGTTTATTTAGCTTGAATATTTTGTATACATCTAGATGTAACAAACTACTCCAGAATTTTGTGTCCAGCCAATCATTTTCTCCTTAAGAAATCAAGTTTTTCACAAAACTCTTATTCCTAAATTTGCATAGTGACTATATGTTTTGGTTTATTTTAGACGTCTTTGGAAACTGTGTTGATACTGCTTATGTGTTTAAGTATCTGTATTATGAACTATATCTGATCAATATGTATTACTCACTAGTAAGGCTATTGTGTCTTGAACATTATCATGAGTTCCTATGTATCACTTTCAAAGTGATACTTGCCATACCTACTATATGATGCTTTCATAACACGTTGTATTCCGTGTTGAAGAATTGTAGCCTAGAACATTTATTTCATTCAATTATGAGGTTATTTTAACATTTTTCCATTCTTTTTGGGACATACCTAGTGTATTTAATGTTTTCTATATCATTACGTCTACTTTCTCATGTAAAGGAAAAGATGTTTGTCCACAGTTTGCCCTTGCTCTCATAACATGGAAGTTTTCAAAGCACTTTCTTTGTACTGACCATGTTCTAACATTGTTATTGTCTCCTACCATCGTTAGATAAGTTTTGGTCTTTTGCTTTAATACTTTGATGTGTGAGGAAGCAAACCATGGTTTGCTTTGAAGCTAGTGCTGTTCTATTTTCCCCATTGTCTCACCTTATATCATCATCAACAACTGTCACATCACGTACCTGACAAGCAAGAAAAAGCAGTTCAGTTATTAACTTCCTATTATGCCAGATGTGTTCTATTCTGCATGTGGTTTCAAATTTAAATTCTCTGGTTGATTTGTATCTTACTGCTTCAAAAAAATGAGTGCATACCATGTTTCAGGGCACCATAACTGGCATATAGTGTTGAATAAGCAGTATCCCACCCAACTTTGTTACTTTGAAATTGTTCCTGTGCACTAAGATGTATTATAGGTTGTTTAGTTATTGTCAACTTCAAATTTTTGATGAAGCATAAAAAAGTACATTTGTGTATGTAATATGCATGAGAAAAGTTACGAAAGAAACAACAAAGTCTGAATATCTCTTGTCAATTTTATTTTTTGGGAGGGTTGGGGGCGGGGGGACTGACTGCATTGTTCACAGTAATTTGATATTTAATGCTGGAAGAATGACCAACATTTGCTTCTAATGTTTATTTAGAGCGTAAGGCTTGGTGTTATGCACTGTTTCTTCCTGGACATGAATAGATTGTGTCCTTCAGTGCAGCTCATGAAGTCTTCTATTTGTATGTGATTTGCTGCTGCTAGCTTTTTTTTTATACAGTGTGCTAGAGGCAATATTGTTGCACAGTATTACAAAATTTTATTGTGTTAGGGAATGTAAGGCATAGCTCTTATTCTAGATGTTTATGACATAGGTTCTGTACATATTTATTCTAGCTATTACTGCATTCATAATCTATTTTAAGTTTTCTATTTGTTTTGTCATGCTTTTAAGTTGCGGAGTATTTATTTTGTTGTATTGTTCTTGTTCTGAAAACAGATATTCTAAAGTTATATATAGAAGAAGAAGCAGATGTCACTGCTACCTTATAAAAAACCAGAACCCGTAGTGTTGTATTGTTTTATCTGCCAATTGAGCTCAATCTTAACCTTAACGGTACTGTTAATAGTGACAAGCTGGAGGACAATATGGCTTCTGCTGTGAATCATTGACAAACAAGCAAAATTTAGGTCAAAGCTTTTGTTTATCTGTTATCTCAAATTTCTCAATGCTTGCTGTCCTTCCTTTTCCTGCATGGGTATTTGTAGGAAAAGCTCAGTTTGGAGATCTCTTAAAATGCTTTAAAAAAGAAAGGTATTTGTGTTGTTGTTACACATGAACTTTCTGTCAAAAAATGTAACAATGCTTTCCTTTCTTAAACTATCACACAAATGTTATTGATTCATGATATGTCTTGTTTCCTATTTCTTTCAAAATGCTAGAAACTTAAACATTCCATTTGTTACATAGTTGAGAAGTACTAAATATGTGGCCCACAATAAGGATATGCTAGAACTAATTGTAACTGTCAAAAGTATTACAGCATACATCTTTAAAAAGGAGCTGACTGGCACTTCCTTAATACAGTTTTGGTAAGCTGTTGTTTTTGTTTTGTTTTGTTTTTTAGTTTTCTATGATGTGAACAGACCTTCTGACATTCATTATACCCCCTTACCTATTACACTTAGAATGTAGCACAGTTCAACACAATTGTAGCACAACAACTTAACTTGTTGATTGTTGCAAGTGTGAGAGAAAGTTTTTGCAACCCTAAGATAAGGTTGAAACAGTGCTCCTAACAATAATGTTTTATTAGAAAAGAAAACAATCAAAAACAACAGCTTGTTCAACAATAATATTTTTTCTGTGGTTGAGGGTTTCTTTCTGCTGTAAAAAAACCTGTAATTATACTTGTACTCCCCACAAATAACCACTGTTGAAATGATCAGCTTAGTATATTTTACGAACTCCCTTGTATAGTGTTGTACAGGCCCCATCTAGATCTTATTATGTCAAAATTTTCACTGTTAAGGTGTTGGCACTCTCTTAAGAATTTTTTGATTATTTTTAAGAGAGTCTTTTTGAAAGGGCAACAGATAATGTGAATGTGCATTGATTTGTATCGGCTGTATGTATCTAATCACATTCGAAAGATATATATGCATGTTTACTTTTAATTGGACTTTCGTTCTTGATAATTGTCCATTCCAAATCCTGACTCATTGACTGAACCTGTCACATGCCCATGCGCGGTTGGAGGACGTTTGCAGTCGCCGATAGCCCGAGCCCCGACCATGGCCCCGACCCTCGCACTGAAGGGCGAGAAACGAACCGCTGAATCGGAAAGCAGCCCACTACTCTGCTGTAAGGGCGTAATGCACCAACAATGTGCCAATGGGCCAAACGTGCTCCCAGTGGGTCCGAGCCCGCCCAGCCTCTCTAAACCCCCTCCCCACCTCTCTCTCTCTCTCTCTCTCTCTCTCTCTCTCTCTCTCCTTCGCTCCCACGCAAGCAACAGCTGACAGCCGACCATACAGGCAGTCAGCACCAGAGAGAGGGCTGATCTGGCGTGGGCTAGCTAGTAGGATGAGACTTGATGAGATGGCCAGGACGAAGGCGAAGGTCGGTGGATCATTTACAATTTCGGTCACACTCCCGTATCAAATTTGGTCATTTAGTTGAATAACACACATGTTTTGACGCGTCTTCCCTCCCGCACGACCTTGGTGCCTCTCCCCCCCCCTCCCCTCGTTTATGCTCGGTGTCTCCGTGTATCTCGCCTTCTTAAGGAAAACGATAGTCGCATCTTCTCAAAGTGCTATGGGAAGAGGAAACGAATCATAGCACGGACTCGGCCGGCCGGCGTTGCTTTGGAAGAACGCTCAGAAGGACACCAAGGCGGCGGCACGCCACGGTACATGCCGTCAAATTTGACAGACATGCCCATGGTGACGGACAGATCGAAAATCCCCATCTGAAACACGAAACTTTAAACGAAGGAGGAAGATGGATCACAAGCCAATCATGCTGACCCTCGCTTAGCTCGCCCCACCCACCCGAACAGCTACGAAGCAGCAAGCAGAGATTCTGAGTACATAGCACAAACCAGAGGTGACTACATTCTGGCCATCCCTGCAATTTTAAATGCAACGATGACTCAACGCAATAACAATCTAAATGCGATTCGCACATTTGATCTCACCTGTCGGAGCGATAAAAAATAATCGCACTGAATTGACATTGATTATTGCACCTATGAGACAATAATTTATAAACTTTTTGCAGCGGTAAAAATAGAATATTATTGTTATCATTAAGTAGACGCATTACTGCATTTTACTACTATTGCCGCACTTCTGAAGCCGTGATTTCAGCATTTGCAAGCAGTGCGGGGTAAATCTTTACAACGATTTTTTTTTTATCGCTCTCACAGGCGCAAGAAAATGTGTGAACCACATTTTAGCCATTATTGCTTCGCTCATGAAAGTGCTCCGTTTGAAATAAAAGTGATGAATCACCGATGGAACAAAAACGGAGATGAAATTGTAAAAATGATGCGTTCACACCTCTAGGAGTTGCTGACCTCTGCGGCGGTTAGGCCTATAGCACATGGAGAACCGGTTGGTACATGGAGAACCGGGTGGCGCGTCGACAGCGATCGAGCCGGTTCCATCCGGTTATTCCCGAATGAGGTGCTGCTAGGCCGAACGCACCCAAGATGAAGAGGCGCCCGGAGAGAGCTGCGCTGGAGAGTGCGCTGCCCAGCGCACCCTCCAGGCCGGCGGCGGTATGACCGAAGGTGATGGTGGGTACTCGGATGCGAACCGGGAGAGACCTCGCCGGAGAGCACGACCAGCAAACGGCGTTGAAAGACGCAAATAGTTGGCGTTATTCTCAGAAGAACGCCGACCAGTTTACATTATATACTTGGTCACTTAGCAGCCTGGCGAGTGCAGCAACACTGTACCGGCGCGCAGCGGTGCGAGCGGGCTGCCTAACCACACGGCGACCAACGGAGCCACTCGTAGCTGACGGCTCCTCTGCCTCCTCCACGACAAACCAAGGGTACAATCGACCACGCATCATCCCGGAAAATGTCAAACTAGGTTTATCGGGAAAGTTTTAAAAATGTCAGAGCAGCAGGCGGCAGGTAGAAAAGAATAATACACATAATCTTTGCTCTTGCTTCTTCAACGTTAACGTCTTTTCTGTCGTGCCGCATTCCCCGATGGTTATCTCTCATGTACTCGTGCTTTAGTGTCGGGCGGACACAAACAGCCGCTGGAGGCGATGGCGGTCAACGCCACCCACAACCCAGACGATACACGTGCTGCACTCAAACAGACGAAAAAAAACATTTCGCGCGTTTCAGGTGCTCAGGGTGCATTAACGCTAAGCGATCGACCAGAGAGTATAAACGTCTTCCTCAAATACATTAAATGACAGTAGTACACGGGGCTCGACGCCTGCGAAACTCAGGGTAGGCCATCCCGCAGTACACGCATGCTCTGCAGCCAAGATATTGCCTACCTATCAGGCGCTATGAGAGATGGCATGGAGACGAATCATCTAATACTTTTAGTAGCTTCCATAGACCTCCTCCAATATACCCAATAAACGAACCCCTTGTTCTACCCTTTGACCGAATCCAAACAAAAAAGTTTGGGCTCCTAAAAAATTGTTGACGGAGATTTTTTTCAAAGATTTCGCATCTTTTTTACACCCATATTTGGATCAGAATGAAAAATCTCCTTTCCTCGGCCCCCGTACTTCTGGCACGTTTACTCCAAAAAAATTGGCCCGTTTTCGTCTCGTAAGTTTTCGCTCTCGGTTCCGTCCCGATCGGAATAACCGGCCCGTGCACGTGGTGTGCCGAAAGAGGGTCGCTCACAGCCGTCCGACCCCATGATCGTCTGCCTCCAGAAGGTAAAGTCGGGTGAGGTATGGGCCGCCGCAAAAAAGAAGAAAGCCGGAACGGTGATTAGGGAGGGGGGGGGCAGGGGAGCTCGGAAAGAACCCCTCTCCCTCCCCTTCACCGAGCCCCCTCTTGTTTCGGTTTCGGTAGGTTTTTCGCTGTCAGCTGGAGGGATCGGCTGGGGGCCCGGAGGCGCCTGACGGGCCCGGGGTGGGGAATGGGCGAGTTGGCATGGCGGCAGAGCACGGGGTCCGCGCCCGCCAGCCAACCCCGTCCACGACCAGCCCAATAGTGGGCCAGGCGCGAGCGAGTAGCGGCCGTGTGTGCCGGTGCTACCCGCGGTGACTGTCAGGCCGCCGAACCCACCGGACCGCGCGGCAGAGACCGACGACTGGGCGAACCACCACAGCTCTGCGCGCGCCTGGCCAAGCAGTGCATGCGACGGCACCGCAGACGCACCGACGCCCACCAGCCCACCATGGGCACCACCCGGACCACCCGCCCACCAGCATCAGGTGCGTGTCCTGCCCGCCAACGTGTCCCCCTGCGGTTCGCGCACCACCAGTCAATTTGCACGTTGGGGCGTATATGCCATTACTATATTACTTAAACAGTCCAATTTTCAAAAAAACGGGCATAGCTTTTGAATATCGTCTGGCCGCCGGCATCGTCGCCTTCAGACTAGTGCCGCTGTCGACAAAATATTGGACAAGTACAGCGACATTTTGCATGTCGCTCGGACAGCTCAGCTTATTGATTATGGACAGCTTTACGATAGTCGATCGGTAATTTCAAATGATAAAAGGCCCGATGCTCGTAATAGCCTTTCCTCTGCTCTGTTGTCAGGTGCAGAGTGACGAGACGACCTCCTGAGAGCCGGCGCGCTGTCCTGCTTTCAAAGGACACTATCCTACCTCCACCATGGTGGTCGCCGCGAGACTAGGCTGGCTCAAAAAGCACTCCTCCGAGGTGAGAGATCAGCTGTGCAGACCGCCCGTGTAATAAAGTGATGGATGACGACATGCACGGTTGTGACAAAGAAGAACGTTGTTACAATTTTGTCGAGTTAAACCACGCGACTGGACTCGGAACGATTTTGAAGTCTAACTTGAGTGAAGAGGTGCAAAAAGCTATTGTTTCCGGTAGGGCGTCGAGTTGTTTTCCCCGAATGCTCTGCTCTCGTCCGGAAGCAGCTTCTGCTCGGCTCCCGCGTGCGGAATGTAGGCAAATTGCCGCGGCCCCGCGGCGGGCATTCAGTCGTCTGTCCAAACCGACTCGCGTCCCGTCACGCGATCCGCTCGGGACTCGCGAGAACGTCGAGGCGCGGCGGGCAGACACCCTCACCTCACGAGCCCCCCCGCAGGCCAGGCTCAGGTCCACAGAGGACCCCCGAGGTCACGGTCGAGGTCCATACGCACCGGGGGAAAACGGGCCGCTGTTACACTACGTCACATTTAGGGGTGTGTGAGAGCTGGGCGGATACAAATTGTAGTCCATGCGAAGGAACAAATATCATGGCATCTGATGGGCTACAACGAAGGACCTGGTCCTCATAATCAAATCATAATATTCGTCCCCTTTCCCCTAAAAGTCACAAAGGAGGCCCTGATGCAGCCAAGCGCTTTCTGCTCGGTCCTGCTCCGCGTCTTCCGGCGTGCCGTATCGCTGAGTAGCAGGGTACTCGAAGAATTAGCCCGGGACCCTGCCATTCGTCTAGACGCAAGCTTCAAAAAAATACAACAGAAAATGCGAAATTAGCAATCGAGCCGTCATTGAACAAATCGCGTCTAAAGATGGAATCTCATTTATATAAGTTGCTTTTCTCGTGCACTTAGCATCGGATCGGAAATTACTCCATCCTTTAGAAAATATGTTGATAAGGGTTTGGTTTGAAAATACACGTGCAAACCCATCTTCGAACAACGTAAATAACGTGCACTATGAAAAGCTCGGTACAAAAAAGGAACCCCAAAAATTTGGGATTGATTTTGGCCAATGATCGCGAACCAATTGCGAATCCTCTGTACTGTGAGGGGGATCAGAAGATCCTTCTGGATCCTTCACCATTGTGATGAAATTCTCTCTTAGGCTCACACGCTCACAAAGCAGCCAAATCCGTCTCAGTGCGAACAAAACCCTCCGCAAAGGATTTTATCAGTGTGGGCACGGCGGGAGCGGTGATGCGGATATCTGCGGAACCAGACTGATTTGAAGTGGCTCTTTGACGACACCGACAAGCTGTTATACATGGTTAAGGTTGGAGTAGGAGGCCCCCGCCAGCCACTCACCGCACACGTGGCAGAGGCTGCGGCGACTTAGTCCGCGCAGTGGGGAAGGCCTGGAAGGCCCTCGGGGCGGCCGCGGCCAGGCAGTCGGGGGCCAGTGCCAGGGCAGCCAGGCCGGGCCGGACAACATGGGCTGGAGCTGGAAGGTCGTGCCGCAGGTCAGTTGGAAGAATTGAGAAAATGTTCTATTGTTGCATCACTTCCAATAGCGGTTCCCTAATTTTCGAGTTCAGGGTTTGCGAAAATAAGTTAATGAACCAGGAAAACTGCCATCTTCTGGGGTACATTCCTCCTCCCTTTCCCTCATGCGGAGCAGACCCGGAAACACTTGTTACTCTTTCCGAGAATCTTACAAACTCCTTCAACGGAACTGTGTAAACCGAAACTGAAACTGTTTCCAGCTGCTGGTGGCCATGGCGGCGTCACTGGGCTACATGACGATCGGCCTGGTGCGCGGCTGGTCGTCGCCCGGCCTACCTTCCATGACCGAGCTGAACCCTGAGCTCGTCCCCAACGAAGAGATCGTCTCCTGGGTCAGTAAGTACACCCGCATTCGTCGTCCCTCCGGGTGGACATCAAACGTACAAAGAGAGAGAGATTACTTCTCTGCGTTTGGTCAATATGGTTAGAGGTCAGTATTACGTACCTCTCCGAACAACATTTTCACTGAATTCATGGTCATTTTGAACGGCGCGAGATCTAATGCGTTCGCGTTTAGAGCTTTTTGCGTGGGTGCACCCCGCCCGGCGACTGCAGCACGCGATGCCCCC